GCTCTCTGTGCTCCGGAAGCCCTCCTTCCAGGGAACTACGAGGCCGGGAGTGAGCCGCCGGTCCGAAGACCAGTGCTCCCTGCCCGAGGCTCCCTGTGCACCCGGGACCCACCCTCCAGGAGCCTACTAGGCAGGAAGCTAGCCAGCCGGAAGACTGGCGCTCCTCACCCGTGGCTCCCTGTGCCGCAAATATATGTTTTATATAAACAGTATGCCACTATGTGGTTATACTCAATTTTGTTTACCTATTCCTCTACTGACTGATATTTGGGTTGTTTCTAGCTCTTGGTGATTGCAAACAAAGCTATCATAAATACGAGTACAAAGCACTGCATGGCACGCACTCCAGCTTCTCTACACGAGTACTCCAGATTGGGGTGGTTGAGTCCTGTGGTGGGTGGATGCTAAATTGCTTTATTGTTCTTATGGTGAAATCTAGGGCCTTGCACATGCTAGGCAAGTGCTCTGCCACTGATCCACACTTACAGTCCTGGATGTTAAATTTTTTAAGAAATTGCCACACTCTTTTGCAAAATGGTTGTTCTATTTCATGTCTCCACATTCCCTCCATGTTCTCATCAACACTGGATTTTCAGACTTCACCATCAGTGATTATGTGGTGGCTGTGCTGTGGCTTTCATTTGCACTTCCCTAATGTTGAGCATCTTGTCATGTGGGTATTTGCTGCCCTTATATCCTCCTTGGTGAAGCTCCTGTCCAAACCTTTTGCTGTTTTTAAAATTTGGCTGCTTAATTGTTGAGTTATAAGCATTCTTCCTATTTCCTAGATAGAAGACTTTTGTCAGATAGCAACTACTCAACTATTTTCCCCAAGTTTGTGGGTGGCCTTCTTAAGTCTTGTAAAAATGCCTTTTGGGAAGCAGAAGTTTTAATTTTTATGGAGTCCAATATATAATTTTTCCTTTTATAGTTTTCAAGGACTGGGGATTGAACAGGGTTTTGCACATGCTAGGCAAATGTTTTATCCCTGAGCCACACTCCCAGCCCTTAGTTCTTTTTCAAAATTGTCTTAGCTTATGCAAGGTTTTGCAGTTTTAAAATCTAAATGTTTAAAATCTAAATGTTAGAATGTGCTTGTTAATTTATACCGTATAGTGGTTGGCATTTTGATTGGTATCTCATTGACTATATTACATTGTGGAGAACTGATGTGAGAATATTGTTTTCCCATCCTTGAACATAGTACATCTCTCTAAACATTTAGGCCTTCTTTAATAGCTTGCAGCAATATTCTGGAGTTTTCAGTTTATGGGACTTGCCTTTTTTTGTTGAATTTATCCTTATGTATCACTTTTTCTGCTGTGCTGTTGTTAAGTGGTATTGTATTAAATGTTCAATGTGTGGTAGTTAGTAGTATGCAGAAATACAATAAATTTTCCTATGTTGACTTCAAGTCCTGTAACTTTGCTAAACTCACTTATTAGTTCTAATGGATTTCTTAGGATTTTGTACATAGATAGTTATGCCGTCTGCAAAGAGAGTTGCATGTCTTCGCATGTAATCTGCATGCCTTTTATTTACATTTCTTGCCTTATTAAACTGACTGGGTCCAACGTGGAAGAGAAGTGGTGACTGCAAACATCTTAGCTTCATTGCTGATCTTAGGGGAAAACATTCAGTCTTTTAGCCCATAAACGCAATGTTCTCTGGTGCTAGCAGCAATCCCCTTTTATTCCCAATGTAAGAAACAGGGTCTTATCTGAGCAACTACTTTGGAGATAACACTAAGCAATGTACTAACCACTGTTACCCTCTTAGTGTCTTGTTTTGAAATTTTATATCATTGTTTTTACTCTTTAAAATAATAAAAAAAACTAGGTTTTTTTCTATCAAAGGATATAAACAGGAGTGCCTGCCTTTTAAACTCTAGTTCACCCTAGGCTGCCCCCTCTCCCACACCAGAGTTACAGAAAATATCTGCTCAGCTTAGATTCTAGGAACACAACTGACCACCAAAGATAACTTTTCAACAGCAAGGACTTTCAGTACCCATACACCCACTCTCTTTTCTCTCTCCCTTAGCAACCCTGCCCAGCAATCCTCCAGGTCCTCACCCTCTGCCACTTAAACTAACCAAGTGAGACAAATTGTGAACCTTGAAACCACCCAATGTGGAAAAGGTCACCTGCTTCTCCTGCATTAGGGATAAAATAGCCAACCTCTTTTGTTCTGCATGCCTGCTATCTCATGCGAGATCATACTCCAGCCCTTCTGCGGAAGTAAAAACCGTTGTTGAGATTTCTTGGCGTTTGAGTGCTTTATTATCTGCACCGACAAACTGAGCCTGGGAATGCATTCTCAACACTAGTTCGTTGAGTATTATCAGAATTGGGTTTTATATTTTGTTGAACGTTCTTTCTACATCTATTGTTAATAATTTTAGTTTGTTAATAATTTAATTTTTTAACCTTGATTTTCAAATGTTAAACCAACTTTGTTTTGTGTCCTGGAATAAAGTCCATTTGGTCATGATGTCCTTTTCTAATATGTTATTAGATTCCACTTGGTAGCTGTTAGGAATTTGTATATTGGGCTGGGGAATTGCTCAGTGCTAGAGCCCTGGTATAGCACTGGGGTCTTTTTGATTCTTAGCTCTGAAAAAAACTTTTTTGTATCTGTATCCATAAGAAATACGGATTTATAGGTTTTTTTGTAATGTCTTTTTCTGATTTTGGTATCAGAGTAATGCTGATCTCATACAATGAATTGGGAATTGTTACCTCTTTTTCATTTTTTTTCAATTTTCTGAAAAAATTTGTGTAGAATTGCTATCACTTCTTGATTAAATTTTTGACATAACTCACCAGTAAAGCTATCCAGGCCTAGAGTTTTTTCTGTGAGAAGGTCTTCAACTCTAAATTTAATTTCTTTAATAGAGTCAGAGCTAATAAGGTTATATATTTCTTCTTGAGTGAGGTTTGACCCTGTACTCTTCAAGAAATTTGTAACTTTTGCTTAAGTTGTTCAGTGTATTGACAGAATATTATTCATAATTTCTCTGGTGTCTGTAGGATCTGTACTGATGCTTCCTGGCTTGTTCTTGTAACTCTTGTTAGTAGGTATTTTTTTTCTTTGTTCTGATCTGTGTGGCTAGAGATTTATAAATTTGATTAATCTTTTCAAAGAACCAACTTTAGATTTTTTTCTATCACTGATTTATTATTTCTTTTCTAATGTTTACTGTAGATTAATTCATTTTTCTTTTTCTTGTTTTTAAAGGGGAAGCTGAGGCATTTGATTTGAGATTTCTTTCTAACATAAGCATTTAATGATATAAATTTTCCTCTAATCACTGCTTTAACCTCATCTCACAGATTTTAATGTCATTCTTTGATTTTTCACTCAGTTCAACACATTTTCTTTGTGATTTCTTTTCTGATTGATGAGTTCTTTAGAACTGCATTGTCTAGTTGGAAGAGGTTTTCTGGCTATTTTTTGTTACTGATTTCTAGTTCAATTCCATGATTTCCCATTCAATTCCTTGATTTCCAAAGAACATTCTTCATATTATTTGAATCTTTTAAAATTTGAATCCATATAAAATTTGAACCCTTTAAAATTTGAATCCATATAAAATTTATTATATGTCAAAGAAAGTTGGGGAACCACAGGCACTGGACCCAGACTCTCATTGGAGATATGAGTGATTTTGTGAGCTCTAGAAGGTTTTAAGCAAAGAGGGGATTTGGCTTGAATTATGTTTCTAAATAAAAAAGGTGGCTGTTGTGTGGAGCCAGTTTGGACATCAGACCTAATGGTGGCATGGACCAAGATGACAGCTATAGCAAAGGAGAAATAGATGTATTTAGAAACTATGTGGAGGAAAATTAACCTGTAGGCATTGGATATGAGAAAGGTCCCTTCAGAAAGGAAAGAATGAAAGGCAATTCCTATTATCCTTACCCAAGTCAGATTTCACTCCCTGCCCACACACACCCTCCCACAAGAGCTGGGGATCACCCACCCCCTGGTGGTTCTCTGCTCTGAGGGCAGCCCCTGTGGGTCTCTACACAACGTTATCCTCTTTCAGCTATGAGTATATGTGACAAACCACTGTCAGTCTCATCTGTCCAGTGCTGGGCCATATATGGGGTCATCCTTGGAGCCCAGGGCAGGAAGGCCTCCTTCATCAAGGGGGGAATAGGAGGTGATTAAAACAGCTCTTTTCTTGGAGAGGACACAGCCCTTGTATGCAGGTGGCTGAGCCAGAGGGGCTGGGCTGGATTGCAGACTCTATACATCTCCTTAGCTGGGTGCCCTCGGGCAGGCACAACCTGAACACCTGTACCTGGCCGCTCTGCTCACAGTTCCATTTATTGCACTGCAACCTGTGCCAAGATCAGTGAGCTCGGATAGCCACCCTGGGACAGAGGCTTCAAGAGCATTCCCAGTTCACAATGGGAGCTCTGTAAGTGGAGGAGGTGAGACTGGAACTCCCTCTTCAATTGGAGTGGCTGAGTGCAGGCACGAAGATGTGACCCAGCAGGGAGAGGACCTGTGTTGTTGGTGAAACTGATCGAGGTCACGTGTGGCCACCTGGCACAGGCTCCTGTAGAGCTGAGGCAGGTCGGAGAGTGTGACCAGAGACAGGAGAACAGGAGTGGGTAGTGGGAGCCTCCTCGGAGAGACAGCTCTACCACCTGCCCCGCCCTGCCCTCAGCCCTGGGGGTGCCCATTTCTCTGGAACCCTCAGACTGGAGAAGAGGCAATTCTTCCTCGAGTGTTTTTGGTCAAAGGGGCTCCATGCAGGCAGAACTCCTAGAGCCAGGTGCTTTCCATAATGACCGCCTCTTGCCGGTGGCCCCCAGCTGCAGCCGATCTCCTAGGATAATCCAAAGAGACACATAATGAAAGGGCTGCCTGCTTGGGGGGCAGAGCTGGCATCAGGTCTTATAGGAATGAGAGCTCTGTGATATTAGGGTTTTATTCTCCCCTGGATACCAAAAGCCCAGCACAGTGCCTGACACATAGTTGATACAGACAGATCTAAATTAAATGCAAGAAGAAAGTGCCAGCTTCCCCCACTCCAACCAAGCTGCCCTTAGGCAAGTTACTAACTTTTCTTAAATTTCTTTCTCAAATTTCTTTCCAGTGAAATCAGATATTCAACATCTTGTGGGGTGGTTGTATGCTTTGATAAGATGCCCCCTTAGCGTGACAAGGGCAAGGCCTCACTGAGTACCAACTGTCATCACCATAGTCATGACCTTGGTCCCTGCTTGGCTGGAGGCATCCCCATGGGCACCCTCCCCCGGGACCCAGCAGGACAGGACAGATTGGTCCACAGCCTTCGTCTACTGATCCATGTTAGCCTGAGAACAACTTGAGTAGGTGGGGTGGTTTTTGTTTTTGTTTTTTTCTTTTAACACTCATCTTACATATAGGGAGCTGAAGCATGCAGTAGAGGTCCTGGCTAGCTGAGGAAGCTGGGAAATTTCCCCTCTGTTCTGTTCCTTCAAAGCCAGCAGAGAGATGGTCCAGGCTTTGCAACATTGAAAGGCTGGGGCCTGGGGTTCTGGGAACACTCTCAGGGCAGTGGAGACTGTCTGAGTCTTCCCAGTTGCTTTTGGTGAGCGAGGTTAAGTAACTTGCCCGGGAAAGTGGTGGCCGAGCCGCAGCCCCAGCCGTGACATTGTCCTGCCTAAGGCACAATCGCTTTCTCCCCAGGGAAGTCACTTCATCTCCCCAACCCTCAGATTCTCCACCCGTAAATGGGAGCAGCAATGGTGCCTTCCTGGAGGGCTGTAAAGATGAGATGGACTGGGGACCACCAGCTTCCCTATTCTGTGCTCTTGAGCCTGGGAGCCCCATCCGTGTTACCCACTCACCGGCCCTGCAGGTCCCCGATGGTGTCGGGCAGTGGAAGACCCCGGGTCTCCGGGAGGAAGAGCAGGAGAACCAGGCTGGAAGCCACAGGGATGACACAATAGGCCAGTGGAGGCAGCAAGGGCAGGGCCTGGCGGGCCATCCGGACCAGGGGGCCCACCATCGCCCCCAGGCGGCCGACAGATTGCAGGAAACCTTCCGCCGTCATCCTGTGGGGAGGGGTCGAGCCATGGCTGCCGAGTTGCCGGGATGGGGGATGGGGGTGGGGGATGGAGCGTGGGGGATGGGGGATAGGGGATGGGGGGATGGCACTGTGCGGGAGGAGCTGGTTGGCGCTGCCCTCTCTAGGCCTCCGCCTTGGATCCTGCCTGAAATTTCCCATCATGCTTCTGGGGAACTCTTGAGAAACCCAGCGTGTCCCTGCCTCAGGGTCACTGGGGGCCCAGGCTCCCTAGGGGAGCACAAAACCAGTAAATGTCACCGAAAAATGCGCCGGAAAGAATGGATAAGGGAGGGAGGGAGCGTGCACCCAGCAGGAGGAAGAAAGCTGGGTTAAAGTCGATGGGGGGCACCCAGGCCACCCTCCACTGAGTCAGTCCGGCACCCTGAGCCTCAGTTTACCCCACTGTGAATTGTGGGGGAGGCAGATACTCCCTGTGTTTCCTGGAGTCTTTGGGTTCTGGGGAAGTGAGGTGACTGGAGGATCAGGAGCCCCGAGCCACTGGGCAGCTCTTAGTCTCTTTACCAGGATTTTTACTTATATATTATTATATCATATCATTATATTATATTACACCATATTGTATTTTTTATACTACTGAATACTGAACCCAGATCCTTTGCACTACAATAACCCCAGCTCTTTTTTATTTATTTATTTTTCTTGAGATAGAGTCTTGCTAAGTTGCCCAGGCTTGGCTCAAACTTGACTATCCTGCCTCAGTCTCCCAAAGTGCCGGGATTATAGGAATGTGCCACCAGGCCAAGCTACCAATGTTCTTTTAAGTTCCCACTTGAACAGAAAGGATTTAAAGTGCACACTGGGGCACCCTGAGGGCTCCTGCACCCCACACAGGGATGCCCTAGAGGCCGCCTGCACCTGGCCCTCGGGAGTCTAGACCTTTCTGGGGAGGGCAGTCTGGAGCCTCTCCCCCAGTCTAGCTGTGGATCCCTGCCCCTGCCCTCCCCACTGGCCCTCCCAGGGTGTCCCTCTCCCACCCCACCAGAGGCCCCTTTGAGTCCAGCTCCCCTACCTCAGCGGAGTGGGGAAAAGCTCTGTCCTGTAGATGGTGAGGCAGGTCAGGCTGATGCCGAAGCATCCTTTCCCCAGCACGGCAAGGGCCACACGCAGGCTCTGCAGATCTGGGCAGAGGAAAAGCTGAGTGGGGTGCACCCAAGGCAGACACCAGGGGCAGCCAGCCTGGTGAGGCGGGGCTGTGCTGTCCTGCTGGCTGCTGGCAGGGCTGCCATGGTGCCAGGCTCCACATGGCTGACATTTGGGCTGGAGCCGGGGTCTGTGGGGCCCACAGCCACCCTCCACCTTGCTCAGCACTCCCAACTGCCAGCTGCAGGGCAGCCTCCTGCTTTGCTGCCACTGCAGGCTATATGTCTCTGTCCCCTGCCCTGGGTCTGTAATCCTGAGTGACAAAAGGAGGCCTGAAGAGGATGTCAGGGCAAGAAGAAAAGTAAGATGGGGCCTTTGAAGCCTCCCCAGCTCTCCGGACACCAGTAATTTGCTACTCTAACATCGAAGAAAAAATGCACTGCATGGGTGTGAACACACACACAGAGATGCGTACACACACACACACACACACACACACACACACACACACACACACTGCTTGGTTCCTTCTTGGCTTCATTGTGAACATCTGGTCTCCATACTCTTCCTGTCCCTCAGACCCAAGTCCTGGCCGGTCTCTCATCAGATGGGTGACCTTGGACACCTGCTTCATCTGTCTGAGTCTTAGGAAAAGGGATGGGGTATGGCTGTGGGGGAAGGGATTGGATTGGAGCAGAGGTCGTGACAGTCACAGACTGGGCAGAGCTGCCACATGGTGGCTGTGGCTCCCAGGGGGCAGGGGCAGGGGCAGGGGCAGGGGCAGGAAAGAGGTCTGGGGCAGGACAGGACAGTAAGCCTGGGCCTTACCTCACCTTGAGGCATTAGTCCGTTGGCCAGGATGCAGAAGCCAGCCAGGGCCAGGGAGCCAGCCTGGGTCATTCGGCGGCCAAGGAACCTGAGCAACAGGACAGTGGTGGCCCGGCCCAGGAAGTCCACAGCCCCGAAGAGGGCCTGCAGGAGGAAGATGTCCCTGCCCAGGCTCTGCAGGTCCAGGACCAGCCCGTAGTAGGACAGCTGCACGGAGAAGCTGTGGGACAGAGCCAGAGGTTCTGTCCTGTACAGAGGAGAGGGACCCCAGCCCGTAGCAGGCCGTCTGGAAGGCAGGCCCCACATGGCTCATCATGGCCAGAGCCCCGTGGACACTGCAGAAAGCAGGATGCGTCTCCCAGCTCAGGCTTGTTCCAGGAAAAGGCTGGGAGCCTGTCTATTCCACACACGAGCTATGGGCAGAGTGGTGATGGACTAGGTGCCACCCCTTGGGCTGTATAGCCACTGGTCAGCTGTATAGCCACTGGTCAGCTCTTACACCCAGGCTGCCCTGGGGGTCTCTGCACCACACCGAGCTGTCTCTTCAGCACCACTCTGTTCTCTTGGCTTGGTTTCCAGAAAGAGTTGTGCTCCCTCTACTCCTCTGAATGCCAGAGAAGGGGCCGGGTGTCCTCTGTCTCCAGACACGTTATCCCCCAGCCCCTGGAAGTGCTGCCTTGCAGCTGGGGAGAGCACCCCATGACAAGTCTGCAGGGGTCAGAGGGACACCCCAGAAGACCACCCAGAACCTGAGCTCCAACCCCTGCTTCCTGTCTCTGTCTGCTGCTGGGGTGGGGCATCCCATCCCCAAGCTCCTGCATAGTTGAACTCAGAGTATCTGAACTTCCAGTTTGGAGCTGGAATTTGGGTTTACATATGGCCCCATAGTGAATGATTCTCCACCATTTAAAAAATTTGGGCCAGGGATACAGCTCAGTGGTACAAGTGCCTGCCTTGCAAGCACAAGGTCCCGAGTTCGATTTCCAGTACCAAAAAAAAATAAATAAATAAAAAATAAAAAATTTGTGTCCCCCGTCTCCCTGCTTAACTAGTCACTCATCTCAGCCCTTCAACGGCTTCTCCAGATAGACAACCCCCAGCTTGGGTGACTCCTGCAGGCAGGAGAAGCAACCACACAGGCCCTGTGGCCTTTCAAGATGTTGCCCCAGGTGACACACAAGGAAGGCCAGGCTGGGGCCCAACACCACCAGCGCACTTGCAGGGGGAGATCTCAAGCCTTGAATGGTGGCAAGAACCAGCAGGGGTAGGCTTCCAAGCCTCTGATTTCAATAATAAACGATGCTCCAAGGTACCCCCTAGGAGAAGCTATGAATTGAGAAGGACTTTAATTGGGGGGTGGGGTGCCCCTGGGTGTTGGTCTCCTTCTACTTTATCAGAAAGAAAATTAGGCCAAAAATAAAAAGATTTTAAAAAGCATTTGATCTCCTTCTTTGTTCAGAGATGTAGCCAATATTTGCTATAATAACCTACTGGTGGTTAAATATAGCATAAAATAAACAGTTTCCTAATCTAGCTTTGAGGTGAAGTTTCAGTCAAGTCTGAGCCTCGTTCTTCATATACTATCTTGCATGTCTCAGGAACTGAATTCCAGCTTTTTGCTGGACCTGGGTACCCTGCAGCCCCGGGCAGGGCCTCCTCCATGCGGGCTGGTGGGTGACACACAGACCACAGCCTGGATTCCCAGGTAGGTCCATCATGGGGTCCCAGCTGGGTCCCTTCTGTGAAATGGGGTGCTGCAAGGGGTAAGGAGGCACCTAGTGCCTGTCAACGTCCAGGGGCACAGCTGTTAGGCCTGAGAGTGCCACATTCCCTGGTCACAGCCCTGTCATCAGGGGCGTCAACAGGGTCTGCATACTTCACCATCAGCATGGTGCAGGTCGTCTTGCGGAGCGTGGGCATGCGGAACAGGTCCAGCACCGACTGGTGTGTCCTCGCAGAAACGGCCTCCTCCTCCATGCTGGACCTCAGCACCTCCGAGGAGAACGGGGACACAGTGAATGCTGAGACCGCGGCCCCACCCTGCTTTTGCGCCAGGGAGTGGTGTCAGGAGCGTAGAGTAATGGGGAAGCCTGGCTTTGGCCTCTGAATGCCGGTGCCCCCGGGGGTGGAGGAGGCCTGGGGAAGAAGAATCCCTCTCTCTGGCTCCCTGACTCTTCTGCAGGCCTGGCCCGTGAAGATGAATTGAGGCAGGGCTGTGTCCCAGCTCTGGTCACTGAGCTGCAGGCTACTCCTCGGAGGCACCACACAACGCCCCAGCCTCTCTCCTCCACCCTCATAGCTGGCACCAAGGCATGCCCGCTCAGGCCAAGCAGCCTCCTCACCACCCCACAGGTGCCCACCCAGTGCTCTTGCACCTCTGAGTTCAGCTCCGGACCATCAGCTCTAGCTTGCCTCCTCCTGGAAGCCTTCTTCATCCTCCCACCTCCAAGAGACTGTGTCTCCTCATCTCTGGCAGCACATCCTCCATCTGACACCTGCTTCCTCAAAATAGCTACCTTCAAATAAGCACACTGTTTCCCCAAATACACTGAGGAGTCTGAGAAGCAGGTGTGCAGGGCACGTGGGATGAGCGGTGGGCATCTGCGACACAGGTGATAACAGAGGTATCGTCGTGACTGGTGAGACGGTGTGATGGAGGGGATGGTGGTGGTGGGGATGGTGGTGGAGGAGATGGTGCAGGGTAGGTGGGTGGTGGAGGGGTGGGGGGATGGTGGGGTGGTGGCAGTAGAGATGGTGGAGGGCATGGTGAGGAAGTGGTGTTGATGGCGATGAAGTCGATTGTGGAGGCGGTGATGGTGGTGATGGCGGGAAGGAGAAAGTGGGTGCGGATGGTTGTGATGCATGTGAGGGTGTTCAAAACAGTCCTGCCCTTACTGTGGTGACGATGCCTGTGCGGTGATGGTGGTGGTGATGGCACTGGTGTCGGTGCTCGCTTGTGGGGAGCCCAGGGCAGAGCTGTGGTGATGTGGGCGGGCAGTAACGCATGGTGGATGTCCTTTCCCATGCCGAGTCACACTGAGGGTCACGAATAGCAGCGTCTCACCTGTATGGTCAGTGTCTTTTTGGCCTCGTTTTGGCCATTTATCCTCGCCACCTTTTTGAGCTCCTGAAGGGCTCTGTCTGGTCGGCCTGTGATAATCAGCCATCGGGCAGATTCTGGCAACCAGCTGTTAAAGAAGCAGGTGTGTGGCTATGACTTTGTTGTCTTGTGTTCTCCAGGCCGGTGGGGGGAAAGGGGCGGTGGGTGGTGAGGCCTCCAGCTCAATGAGACACAGAAGGCAAGTGCTGCTCTTTGAGCTGCTAACGCCAGGCTGGGAGGCTCAGAATAGGGCCGAGTTCCAACCCTCGGCACCCTCTTCCCATGCCATTCCAGCTGGCCTCCCTGGCTGCCAGCAGCCTGCTCACCCAAACCATGCATGTGGCCAGGGCACAGGCCGGCTGGGCGGGGTGTCCCTAAAGTGGCCACCTCTCCAGTGGTTGCCATTTCAGTAATGGGGCTAAGGATTTTGTGGTTTCTTTGGTGTGCTTTTTCTCTATTTAAAATGACCCCAGGCAGAAGGCTGAGTCTGTATGGCAGCCTGCTCTTCCCTCACCTCACAGGCAGATGGGCCAGCTAGGCCTTGCCCTGGTGAAAGGCAGACAGCTTTCCCAGTGCACTGGGGCTCAGCCGTGTTTGCAGAGAAGCTAGGAACTCTCCCAGGCAGGTTGACACAGCTGCTGAAAGAGCCGGCCTGCCAGGGCTCAATCCTGCCCTTGGCGCTCATCAGCGGGTAACCTTGGATGAGTGGCTTAACCTCTCTGAGCCTTGGTCTTTCGTTTGAAAAGGGTGGTAATAACACCATCTTCTTCATCATAAGACATCGATACACCTCTGGTGTTATGACCGTATCCAGTCTTGACCTGTGTGACCCAGTGGCCTAATACATGTGATTATGGGATGGCCTTCCTGCTTGCCTATGGATCTGCTTATAGAATACAAATTCCACGTTGCTGGTGGCTTCTTGTCTGTTTTGGTCACTGATATGTGTCCAATGCCCAAAGCCATGTCTGGCCTGGGGCAGAAGCTCAGGAAGTATTTGAGAATGAATGCGCTAGTACTTGTTATTCTTTGCACCCTCACAGTAGGCTTATCTGGCTGGCTCTGCTTGGCTCCAGCTCAGGGACACAAGAGAACTATAGTGACATTGATTTGCATTCATTTCCCTCATCCGTCCCTTTCCCCTACCCCCACCCAAGCAGGTATTTCCAGACCTCAGGGATTTTTGCAGCACCAAAAACATAGTGACAATGATCTATTTTCATATCCGACGTTGGTCCTCACTGACTTGGATGCCAAGTGACAGGAAGGAGGGAGGCTGGTGGATGGGAACGGTGCCAGCGTGTGGGAGGAATAGGGCTTGTTGTTGGATTCTGGCCAGACTCTGGCCTGGTACCCCCAGCGTTCCCCGTTTTCTAGAAAAGGTAGAAATATCGTTCATTTTGTTTGTTTTAAAATATCTCCTGAGTTTTAAATTCTGGCAACTAGCTACACATGGTTTTTTTTGACATCACTGAAAATTTTTTTACACCACTGAGCCGGTGCTGGGCCGGCAGATGGATGCCTGAGCAGGCTGGCTGGGAGCCACAGGCCTTGGGCTGACACTCCCCAAGAGTGGCCACTGGCTGTCCCCAGGGAGGGTCTGGCTCAAGCCGTTGCCCTCAATGGCAGTGGGAGGCAGGGACCCTGCCACATGTCTCCCACTGGAGGAAGACCCGAGCCACACTGACCAAGATACCAAGGAGAAGGCCAAGAAGGGCACGGACACGGCCAGCTGGAGATCCTGCCAGTCCCGCAGGGTGAAGGCCAGGCCTGCCACAGCCATCTGGCCTGTGCTGTAGGTGCATCCCAGTATCGTCATGGTGACAGCCCTCCTGCGGGTCGTGGTCCACTCTGCCACTGCAAGGCCATGCAGACTGCAGGTGAGGGCTCATCCCCTCTGCCCTCCCCCCCGGCAGGTGCCCAAGCGAGGGACTCACTCAGTATTGATGACACTAGGATGATGCCAGCCATTCCAAAGGCACTCAGGAACCGGAGGCTGCAGTAGATGGGGAAATTCGGGGCAAAGGTTGTGCTGGCACCAGCCACAGCCACCTGCAGGCAGCACCAGCTCAGCATCGGTTTCCGCCCGAGCCTGTGGAGGAGATGACATGGGGCTGCTGGCGAGGCCTGGACCACAGGGTGTGTGTGGTGCTGCTTGGCAAAGCAGGGGAGACCAGGGCAGGCAGCTCCTCCTTCATAGAGCTGCCCAGAGCTCACACAGGGCTTTAGTTATCACAGTGGCGGACGCTTCGGTCCCAGGACCCTGGAGTCAGATGCCTGCTCTGAGTCTAACCCTGCCTCTCCTGGGGATCTTGGGATGTGGGTGGGTGCCCATCATGATGGGTCTCAGGGAGTGGGCTTGTGAATGTGAAGGTCCTGGGAAAGAGGGAAGGGGAGCAAGGAGACCAAGTGGGGCGACTGAGGGCAAACCAGCTCTGTCCAGCCTGGGACAGGAAGTCCCAGGGGACCCATGCGGATCGCACGGCTTGTGCCACTGCAACCTCCAAGAGGTTCAGCTGAAATACTGGCTGTGGTCAGCACAGCTGTAGTGTGTGCTTGCCAGATGGAGATGGGGGTGGGACGTGGCTTTGCCCCCTGTGTGTCAGGCACCCTGGTCCAGACTTCAGGGTGACTACCTCACCAGGGGACGAGAGGACCAAAGTGATATGATGTCCCACATGGGTGACCCCCAGGGCTGGCGGCAGATCTGTGTGACCCATTCCCAGCAGCTGGCTGTCCCTTAAAGGCAGAGACCACACATGCCCTGCTGCTGGGTCCCCCACTGCTCTCAGGAAGTCACGATGATGGCAGCAACGTCTCTGTGCTGGGCCCAGCTCCAGGCCATATGCGGGTTAACTCACTTGATCCTGACAATAATCTTGTGGGAGGTTTGAGAGTCCCCATTGATGGAGGAAACTGAGGCACAGGGAAGAAACTGCCTCCTAGGACCGGTGTCTGTGGGGACCCTGGTAGTGGGAGGTGTCAGATAGTAGCTGGAGGACACCGGAAGGTACCTGGGCCTGCGCAGAATCGTACCTGAGTCCCTACCACATCCAGGGGCTGTGCTGGCCCCCAAGGCCTTGTGTTTTCACCTCCCATTTGGACAGAGTGAGCCTGGTCATGCGCCAGAAAGCCTCTCAGTGAGGGAAGCAGGGCTGCACCAGTAGGTGGCCGTGCCTAGGACAGGCCAGTTGCTAGTCAGGGCACAGGAGGCTCCTCTGAGAAGGACACTGGGCTGTGGCAGCTCTGGGCAGGTCCCTTTGGCAAGTCCCCACCTAGGAGGTCAGCACAGCTGGGCTCCTCCTCAGTGCTGCTGGCCCCTGGGGTACGTCAGACCGGCATCCTCCAGATCTACCTAGGAGCCCATGCCAAGTCCCTCCGAGCACTGGAGACAGATCAGGGCCACCAGAGGCGGAGCTGCCCAGGCCAGAGGTAGGGCGTCGGGGGAGGGATCCGGACAGTGTTTCTTGGAGGAGGAGCCCGGGGCTGTGAGGGGAGGGGAGCGGAGGGCAGCAGGGGACAAGAGGGCACGGCTGCTCTCTGGGATGGAGTCTGGGGGTGAGCAGAGGACAAGGCGAGTCAGCAGCTCCGCTTTGGCCGCACAGACATGAGCTGCCTCCCCGTCTCCTAGATGGAGACGCCCAGTGGGCAAGTGGGTCTGCAGGTGGTGACAATTTTGGTGTCACCAACACTGGGTAGTGCTGCCTCACATGAAGATGCATGAAGAAGGTGCTGGGCTAAGTCCTGGCTCGACCCCCCCTGGGGGTGCTGAGTAGCAGCAGAGGCTCGGGCTGAGTTGGGGTCGGGGGGGAGGTTGCAGAAGGCGAGGGAAGGAGGGATGTGCAGAGAGCGTTCTTTTCATCTCAGGTCTGAGTGTGAAGATCACCCAGTCTGTCCGCGGAATTCCCAATCCAACCAGCTAATCTGCCCCGAACATTGGCCCTTGGCGCCCCTCCCCGCTGCCCCTTCTTCACCCCTCTCTGCTGGGCCCAGAGTGTCCCTGGCCCCCAGGCCCACACGGAGCATCCAGGGAGGCCTGGGACTGGGACTAAGGGGCAGGAGAGAAGTTGGCAGCGGACTGAGGGCAGTTATGTGGCAAGGGGAAGAGACAAAGTGGCCACATCCAGCCGGGAATGCCAGGAGACGGGAGACAGCCCCGCCAGCTTCACTGGGGGGAGCCAGGTCAGGGGCTGGGGAGACCTGGAGCAGCCTGGGGGTTCGCGGAGGGGAGAGACTGAGCAGGCAAAGAGAGAGGAGGCCAGGGTGGGTGGGCCTGGGGTCCACATGCAGGGCCAACCTCAGCTCTCCCAGCGTGAATGGGAGCATTCAGCTTGGTGCTGCCTGAGTGAGGGCAGATTCGGGCCCCCTCTCAGGACATGTGACACAAGGCCATCAGCTTGAGGTGAGGGACCCTGGGGCTGGTGTCTGGGGAGACAGAACATCTTACTCCAAGACTGCAGACCTTGGCCTTTGCCCGCCTCTCAGGGTCACATGATAGTGGATGTCCTTTGTCCCTGAGGCTTAATGACTCAGCCTCAGTCCACATCTGCACTCTGCATCTTCTCTGCCCTTCCTCCGAGAAGCCCTCGCAGCCCCCAGGGTGGGTCCAGCCCTGTCCTGCCCCTGCAGTTCCTGTGTTTCTGTGTCACAGCCCGCTTCTCCCAGTCAGTGCTCAGCACATAGATGAAGGTCGATTCCCCCAGGGCCGATTCCTCCCGCCATGCAGGGCAGGCTCTGGGGCACCCTGAGGTTCCTGAGAGTGCCTGTCCCACTGGGGCTTGGTGACATGTGGGAGGCCCAGAGTCCCCCTTTCTTGAGGGACACAGAGGCTCTCAAGACATCTCTATGCTTTCTATCCCCTCAATCCTCGATTCTGTCTTAGGGAGCAGGGAGGGGAGGAGATACTCACCGGTAGGACAGGAGGCCCCAGATGAAGGACCCCACCAGGATGCCGGCCATGTAGATGGACTGTCCCATGGGCTTCAGGCCCTGAGAGTCACACACCAGGTCCCACTGCAAGGGAAGAGGAGAGACAGCTCAGGAGACAAACGCGGTGGGGCTGGGGCAGCAGAGGGAGGGCCAGGCTCAAGGCCAACCAAAAAGAACCTGGTCGGCCTGGGTCCTGGGGGTCCAATCACTCCACAGGGTCCCTGCACTCTTACTGACAAGTCATAGGAGACAAGGGATCTACTGGTCTGCTCATCCCACAGACACACCTGACACCTTCCTTCCCTTACTAACTAGGAGCCATCAAAGAACACGCCCATAGGACTGTGGTGATGTCAGGACCCGAGAGAAGATGTACAATAGTGCCGGCCACCTCAGAGATGACAGTGAGGGTGGCTCTGCCCTTGTGACTGGTCTGAGCACTGGCAGAGTGGCCTGGTCATCCCCTGAGGCCTTGTCCATCTTCTAACCCCAGTGCAGATCCAAACCTGGATCACCATAAGCACCAGAACATGTGTTGAATGATAATTCTTCCTTTGGCCAAACTTTTGTCTGGCTTTGGAACCTTCTCCCAGGCCTAACCAGGTGCTTCCTTATAAAATCTAGTTTTGGCCAAAAATTCTGGTAGGTTAGTTTACAAGAAACTCCCACCCTTGGTTCTGATCACCCTTGAAATTCCACATCCTCCAACCATCCCCCAGGTGAAGTGATACCTGGGCCTGCGTCAGCGAGAACCCTTGGGCGTCCAGTTCAGCCAGGACCCCCTGATCGCTCCTCTTAGTGATTTTCCATTCCCTGCCCCCCAACTATCCTTTGACTGTAAACTGCCCATTTATAATGTGAGCTGAGCCCCGTCTCTCACTGCTGCCGGCCCCCCCCCACCGCCATGCCGATAGCTGTCAGAATGCTTTTGCACAGTCTTCCCCGCTTCCCCCGGGGGGGCTCTGAGTTTTCCCTTCTTTAACATGAGGGAGGTGATTCGACCCTCCCAGTTCAGAGTGGGCAGTCATCCCTAGCCGCCGGGAAGGGGCGTGGGTGGCCCTTACCTTGGTCACCACGGTGGCAGTGAAGGTGCTGTGGTCGTACACCCAGCCGTCCACACAGGGCTCCGTGGCAGCCTCGCTCCAGTTGGCAGCCGTGGCATTGGGGTCCAGGCGCTGCCACTGTGGTTGGCGGAAGCGGCGGCACGGCTGGGGCTGCTGATCGGGGCCCAGTGGGATGGACACGGCCAGGAGGGCCTCCTGGGTAAGGTTGGCGGGGGTCTCAGAGCCATTGTCCAGCATGTGGGTCCAGCAGCGGTGGTCTGGGACAGCGGCTGAGAAGTTCTCCAGAAGCAGCTGGAAAGGTGTGAAGATGGCTGGGAGGAGCAGGGTGGCAACCTGCAGAGTCTGGAAGCGACCCACGCCCCCAACTCGCTCCAAGAGCTCCTCGAAGGCCATGCACAGAGCTGGTCCTGGTGGTCAGCGAGCCCTGACCTCAACCTGCTGCTTGGGACCAGTGGCAAAATTAGTCCGAGGCCCTTCACACTGCCTCGCCCTAGCTGGTGACCAGCTGCCAGTCCAGAGCTGCCCTGGGATGCTTTGAGGAACTTTCCCTTTATCCTGTCTCCTGCAGGGCCCTTCAGATGTCCCCACACTGTGGAGCGGACATCAAGGGGCGAGCGCTCGCTGTGCCTGGGCCCCCAGGGTGTCTGAGCTGCCGCTGTCAGGACCTCAGAGGACTGAACCTCCTTCTGGGTTCTCCACACCAGAAGTGTAAAGTCAAGCGGCTTAAAAAAAAAACAACAAAGTAAGCTGCAAAGCCGTGGTGTTACTGAATTACAGCTGTGGAGGGGGAATCGCTGTGGCTCCTCCCTGGGTGGGTTAATGTTTAATCTCAGCATGGGCTCCAGGTTGAGGCAGGAGGGGAGCCCGTGGGAGCTGCAGCTTTGGCAGCTGACCAATCTCCTCCTCAGGTCATGACCCTTTGGAGCCTGGGGCCGGTTCAGTCAGGAAACTCTTGGTCCCAACCTCACCTCAACAATCGGGTCAGGGCTCCTCAGCCGAGGCGCCGGAGGGAGGGCCACCCGCCAGCGTTCTCCTCCTGGTCAAGGAGCACCCCCTTCCCAGGGGCACTCAGAGGCTTCTCACAGATGCACTATTTCTGGAAGCTTCTATTCCGAGGCTTCTGATTGCCGTAATTAGACGATAAGCTCCCTCAGGGTGGAAACCATGGCTGCCATTTCCTGGCATCTCTCAGATGCCCTTCGTGGGTCAGAGCCTGGCAAAGTCACACCTTTCTGTCCTACCGTCCAAGGCCAGCCCAGCTTCCATGTGGGGGACATGGAGCCATCCCAGGCCTCTCCTGGGTTGGGGCTCTTAGTGACAGATGCCCCTGGCACTCAGAGCTGGCTGCATGCCCACGATCTGTGCCCTCCCTCACTCCTCATAGCAGCCCAGGAGAGAAATGGCGTTAACTCCCTCTAACAAGGAAACTGAGGCTCAGGGAGTGCAGGCAACTTGCCCAAGGTCACACAGCAGAGTCCAAATGCAAACCAGACACCAAAGCCTGAAGTCTCTGCAGCCTGTCTTGTAGCAAATCCCAGCTAAGAGCTGGAATATAGGATTTGGGTCAGAACTAGTCACCTCCCAGGGTATGAAGATAAAGCGACCGCGTCAGTTCCGGAGAGAAGTGTGGAAGTGTGGGTGAGGTGTGGGTGGGTGTCTGCACCCTGAACTTCCGAGAACCTCCCCAGAGGATGTGGGGAACTCGGCCAGGATGGCGGCTGGCCAGGAAGTCTGCGAAACGGGCTTCGAGGACTGGATTTCAAAGCCAAGGCTCCTTCCTCACTCTGTCTCTAAGCAGGAATTCGTTATGAATATTAAAATGGCAGACAGAGAGTTGGGGAGCGCGCCAAGCCACCTAAAGCACAGGACGCTCCAGGAGCAGGGCTAATGGGGCCCAGCCCCAGTCTACAGAGCACAGCTTGAATGGTGTGCAACACCGAGGCCTGCTCTTCTTTCCTTCGTGGTGAAAACTCTACCCTAACCAGAAAGGCCTGGACCCAGGATGTAACCCCGAGGGGCATCCGCCCCACCCGCAGGGGATTCTGCTGCTCTGAACCCTGGTCTTCATTTTGCTAAGTGTCAGGCCACAGGGGCCTGCGGAAAACCAAGGCGTCCAGGAGGAGTTAATTTCCCTTCCTCCTTCCTTCTTCCATATGCTTTTACAATTTGTTTCTTCTTCCCTGCCCTTTGCCAGTCACGGACACCCCTAGGTTTTGCTCACAGCAGAAGGTCAACTCTCCCGGTTTTGCCAGAAGGCTCCCGGAATCTCCCACTGGCTTTCGGCTTCCAGGCCAAGGAATTTGTAATTGGTATTTTCGGTGTTCCTGGGACTGCTGGGGGGTCCGGGCTCAGTGCAGCTGCTCTGCCACCTGGTGGTCACACCTGGGACTGTGACACTTCTAAGAATCAGGCTCACCTTGCTTGGGAGCCCATCCCCCAAGGGCACTTGGGCCAGTGGGGAGAAGGCAGCCTCCGATTATAGTCGCTAAGCCCTCCAGGGTGTCCCATTGAATTAAACTGTGAAAAGTGAATCCTGTTACTCACAGAGGCAGTACTGCAGGGGAGAGGGGGGTGACTCTCCCAGCCGAGGTTCACATCAAGATTGGAAGCCAGGCTGCCTGCCAAATGCCCGTGAGTAGTTCATAAATCTCCCCTGAACTTGTGTCTTTATCTCTAAAATGGGGTCTTCCACCTAAAGCAGTAAGATTAAAGGGCACGGAGACTGAGACTAACAATAAATGCTAGCTACATCACTATTGTCATTATCCACCATCACTGTTATTATCATCGCAGCTGCCACTAGCATTATCACCATCTCCATCACCATCGTCCCTGTCGTTATCGGCATCACCAACATCATATCATCATCTTCATCAGTACCATCACCAGTGTTACCACCACCATCACCAACCCTCACCAGCATTATCAGCACCGCCATCACCACCGGCCTTATCAGCTGTCACCAATATCACCGTCATTACCACATTATCACCAGCACCACCACCACCATCGGCACCATCACCGCCGTCACCATCACTGTCAACATCACCATCATCAACCGTCTCCAGTACGATCATCATGGTCACCACCACATGATCACCACCACCATTACACTTGGCCCCTTGTTCTTCCTCTGGCTCCTTCTCAGGTGAAGCCATAGTGTTTCAGAAGTACCTGGGATCACTGGGTCCCCTGTGTGACCCCTCCCTGCAGCCCTGGCAGAGCCTGGGTTTGACCTCAAGACAAGGATCATTCGTGGCTTCACACTGCAGCAGGGACAGGGCTCCCCGGGGCACAGATTCTGGCTCTGGTACACTGTACCTGCACAAAGAGGCCCAGTGATCCATCAGAAAGTCAAAGAAACAGTAACCATAAAATGTGAAATAGTCTTCACGTTCTGGCTAGCAGGCCTCAGTCCACTGAGCAGAGGCATGGAGGGGCCACAAAGGCAGGGCATCACCTCCAGCTCTTCACTTCCTCCGGGAAGACATCACTGGGGGACATCATGAGCCGACCAAGGCCCCTGCTTTTCCCCTCTCCTTTCTCCAACTCACTGCCCGTGGCAGCCTTGGTCTCCTGGGCCTTTTGTATTACAAAACCTCCTCTTTGTAAACCTATCAGAATTCACCCACTCACGTTTTTCTGAGGAAGGAGGATGAAGAGAACCTCATTCATGCTCCTGTCCTTTTGGGGGGTGCTGTTGGGGGTGGAAATGAGGGCCCCACATATGCTAAACACATGCTTGACCACTGAGCCACACCCAGGGCCCCTGTCTTGTGCTACCTTACACCACGGACGAGGTAAGTCACAGGCTCCCATAAGGTCCCAATTGTCCCATGCCCTGGAGGAAGTCAGACAAACACCTTTTCCTGTGTGTTCAGAAATATGACCACACAAGCCATAAAAATGAGTCGTGTTTTATTAAGAAGCTGTACACACACGGCAACAACCCGAATGCTCTAGAAATGTGTAAAGTGACAAGAAAGAGTCCTTTCCTCTCACTGCCCAGAGGCGGCTGCCACCAAAAGTGAATATTCTTCTGGAAAAATAGTAACGAATGCTCAAACATATGTGTCAACTTTTAAAACTGTTGAAGAGATAGTAAATTCATAGAGTTCAAAAACAGCAAAGGCAAGCCATAAAAAGGCTCTCCCCGCCCCCACCCTTTCCAAGCCACCCACGCTGGCCCACAGGGAATCCTTTTCAGTTTCTTGTGTATCTCTTCAGATTTTCTTTCTGAAAATAAGAAGCAAGGGTACAAGTGCATTCCTATTTTACTCCGGTTTACACAGGAGGGAATTTTCCCCGGGACGTTTCTTCCCCACCACCGTTACCTCGGCTGCCTTTCAGAGCTGTGCGGTGTTCTGCGCAGGGATTTATCGCCACTGATTGAACTGGTCTCCTGCCCAGGCCACTTGGGTTGTGTTACAGTTCTGACACTGCAGGAAGCTCGAGGGAAGAACTCTGCACACACGCTGTTTCCAACGTGAGCTGGCGCATCTGTAACGCCAGATTCCAGAAGGGCGCTTGCTCTGGGGACGTGTACGCGGGTGGTGGTCTTGAGGGGCTGCTGTCACCCGCCTGGGGACATGCTCCTTAACACTGCCCCCTGTGCCTGTCACACCTGTGGTGGCTCCCCAGTATCATGGGAAAAATGATCTCCGTGTAACTTTATTTCACATTTCTTCCAAGTAATATATTTATATTCTTTCTTCCACTTAATATGCTTAAGATGGACTTGTATGTCTCTTCCTGTGACTGTTTCTTCACCTTCTTTACCTATTTTTCAATTACAGTTTGCCCGTGCCTTCCCACTCTCCCAAGCCCTTCATAGATTAGGGAGGCTCTCTCTTTGTCTGTGATAGAAGTTGCACATTTTTTCGGTCTAATTTATCTTTTGACTTTGATACTAGGTTGTTGCCATTGTCCTGTATTTTTTCAATATATAGGATTTTTTTTTTTGTAACTGAATTTGTCTGTTTTTGACTTTTGGCCTTTGAGTGGTAACTAGAAAGGGCTTCTCTACTCCATGGTGATAAGGGATTTTTTTCACGGTTTGTTTTTCTTTAATCATGAAGGTTATTGAATTCAGGTACCAACAGTGCTGATGCTGACTTAGGACTTTGCTTCTTAGAGCCGTGAGTCTGATGAATCTATGAGTGGCTTCTTAGCTTTGAGCCATCCTTTCATTCCAGGGACAAATCCACTTAATCAAGTCATCATACGATTCCTTTAAGGTACTCCTGCTAGATGCCGCTTGACCATGTTTTATTTAGAGGTTTACATTAATTTTTTTTTTTGCACTGGAAATCGAACTCAGGACATCATAGTTGCCAGGCTACATTAATCTTCATATCTGAGACAGTTTCTTTTGTTCTTTCCTTTCTTGGAAAAATCTTAGGCGGGTTTTGATATTAAAGTTATATTCACTTCATTGGGAAGTATTTGTGCCTTCTTTGGCTCTGCCTTAGTTTACGTAAGTGGCATCTTCCTTCTTCTCCCTCACACTGCCTGTGGTGCTCTAGCCCCCGCTGGCCTGGTCCGTGACATGCGAGGAGACTGAGGCAAGGCCTCAGGGGCTTTGGGAAGAGGGGGGAGGATGGGGAGAGGGTGTGAGTCCAGCTCACAGTGGTTCCTGAAGGTCCAATTTTAGCACCTGGGTTCCATTCCCTGAGACAGGAGCAGCCCCCCGAGGCTCCCGCGCTGGCTGTGCTCATCTCCTAGTCA